CCTATTTGGGCCCCAAACACATGTTTTCGTTTGAGAAATGTTGCTTAAAAAAGTGAGCACTTTTTCGGCGCAGCCCCCATCCAAAAGATACATCAGGGGGTTGCCAGAAGGGGGATGTGCCCCCTTCTGTTTGGGGGGTTTGAAGGGGGTGGAGCCCCCTAATCGCCAAGAAAATTTTGGACTTGTGAGAAGCTTAAAATGACCCCAGGTCATAAGGTAACGTGTAACCAACGCTGAAAAGCCTTTGACTCTATCTCAATCCCTTGAGAAGTTGCAGCACTTTGAAATAAATTTTGATGGAAAAAATCGAGGCAAAATAGTGATTTTTGGCAATTTTGAGATGTCCCCTCGTTGCCATGGTAACAGGAAATTTAAGACTGAGCATGTCCTTACAAAGGCAATGGTCCGGTCAACATTTGTGCCAAGTTTGATTAGTATTAAAGCATTTTTCATAGTTTCATAGCAGTTTGAACTTGTAAGAGGAGGCTTTTCAGTGAAAATGGCCATTTTTCACAATATGCTCATGGGGGAAAGGGTTAAACAATATTTGTAGTATGATATTTGTAAATACAAAACTTAAAAATTTCCTGAAAAAAAATTTACATGCAAATATGGGGCATAACAACTGGCCTCATCAGATGAATGTCCCTCGAGTGTTATTGTAGAAAAACTATATTGTTCACAAGTTCATTGTCAAATGTTTGTTTGCTGGCTTTAACAGAGTGAATTCGATCTAAAGCTCTACAGAAGCACTGGATTGTTTGGATTCCTCATAATCAATACAGGTACTGCTTTTGTCTAATTCAGGACCAGTTTCCAAGTCTTTTGAAACAGGAATTGGCTTAGATATTATAATGCTCTTTTGTGGAACAACAACATCTGGTTTATGAGTAAACACAGTTGGTTTCTTTTACTTGCTGACATGTCTTTTATTGAGGTTTCCCTCACTGTTGCATAGATAAACAGTCTCACTTGGATTAAAATCTCCAATTTTTGCCCCACTGTTGCATAGATAAACAGTCTCACTTGGATTAAAATCTCCAATTTTTGCCTCAATGTTGCATAGATAAACAGTCTTACTTGGATTAAAATCTCCAATTTTTAGAGGATGTCACTTAGTTATTATTTGGTCATTTAAACTACCCTGACTGATTTTTAGCTCACCAGGTGAGCTATAAGTGTCAAAGGGGGATGCTCCTGCGTCCGCCGTCATGCGTCAACAATCGTCTTCTTCTTTGAAACTACTTAGCAGATTTACTTCAAATTTGGTCTGTAGCATCCTTGTGACAGTCACACTTGAATTTGCTCATGTCATTCCAATTTGCCCCTTTTAGGGGTCAGCAGAGCTAAAAATAGAAAAACCTGTAAACATCTTCTTCTACAGAACTAATGGATTGATGATCACCAAACTTTGTCTGTAGCATTCTTGGGTAGTTTTTTATCAAGTTTGCTCATATGAATTTGATTGGCCCCTTTTAGGGGCCGCTAAAGCTAAAAATAGAAAAACCTTTAAACTTCTATTTCTACAGAACTAATGGATGGCTGATTACCAAACTTTGTCTGTAGCACTCTTAGGTAGTCTTATATCAAGTTGACTAATATTATTTTGATTGGCCTCTTTTAGGGGTCTCTAGGGCTAAAAATAGAAAAACCTTTAAACATCTTCTCCTACAGAACTAATTGATGGATCATCACCAAACTTTGTAGCATTCTTGGGTAGTGTTTTATCAAGTTTGCTCATATTATTTTGATTTGCCCCTTTTAGGGGCCGCTATAGCTAAAAATAGAAATACCGTTAAATGTCTATTTCTAGAGAACTTATGATGGATGATCACCAAACTTTGTCTGTAGCATTATTGGGTAGTCTTTGATCAAGTTTGCTAATATTATTTTGATTGGCCCCTTTTAGGGGTCTCTAGGGCTAAAAATAGAAAAACCTTTAAACATCTTCTCCCACAGAACTTATTGATGGATGATCACCAAACTTTGTCTGTCGCATTCTTGTGTAGTGTTTTATCAAGTTTGCTCATTTGAATTTGATTGGCCCATTTTAGGGGCTGCAAAAGCTAAGAATAGAAATACCTTTAAATGTCTTTTTCTAGAGAACTAATTGATGGATGATCACCAAACTTTGTCTGTAGCATTCTTTGGTAGTCTTTTATCAAGTTTGCTCATATTAATTTGATTGGCCCCTTTTAGGGGCCACTAAAACCAAAAATTGAAAAACCTTTGAACATCATTTCCTACTAAGATAATTGATAGATGATTTGGTACCAAACTTTGTAGCATTTTTAGATAGTCTTTTATCAAGTTTGGTCATATATATTTTTCGCTCACCTGTGACACAAAGTGACAGGGTGAGCTTTTGTGATCGCTTTTCGTCCGGCGTCCGTCCGTCCGTCGTCTGTCCGTCTGTAAACTTTTACTTTAAATGACATCTCCTCATAAACCACTAAGCCAATTTCATCAAAACTTCACAGGAATGTTCCTTTGGTGGTCACCTTTAAAAATTGTTTAAAGAATTTAATTCCATGCAGAACTCTGGTTGCCATGGCAACCGAAAGAAAAAACTTTAAATATCTTCTTTTAAAAAACCATAAGAGCTAGAGCTTAGATATTTGGCATGAAACATCTTCTAATGAGTGTCTACCAAGTTTGTTCAAATGAAAGCCCTTGGGTCAAAATTGGCCCCGCCTCAGGGGGTCATTGATTTTCCCTATATGCATATAGAAAAAACTTGAAAAATCTTCTGTTAAAGAACCCAAAGAGCTAGAGCTAAGATATTTAGCATGAAACATGTTCTAATGGGTGTCTACCAAGTTTGTTCAAATAAAAGCCCTGGGTCAAAATTGGCCCCGCCCCGGGAGGTCATTGATTTTCCCTATATGCATATAGTAAAAACTTAAAAAATCTTCTTTTAAAGAACTCAAAGAGCTATGGCTAAGATATTGAGCATCAAACATGCTCTAATAGGTGTCTACCAAGTTTGTTCAAATAAAAGCCCTGGGTTCAAAATTGGCCCCGCCCCAGGGGGTCATTGATTTTCCCTATATGCATAATTATAGTAAAAACTTAAAAATCTTCTTTTAAAGAACCAAAAGAGTTAGAGCTAAGATATTTAGCATGAAACATGTTCTAATAAGTGTCTACCAAGTTTGTTCAAATAAAAGTCCTGGGGTCAAAATTGGCCCCGCCCTGGGGGGTCATTGATTTTCCCTATATGCATATAGTAAAAACTTAAAAAATCTTCTTTTAAAGAACCAAAAGAGTAAGAGCTAAGATATTTAGTATAAAACATGTTCTAATAAGTGTCTACCAAGTTTGTTCAAATAAAAGCCCTGGGGTCAAAATTGGCCCCGCCCCGGGGGGTCATTGATTTTCCCTATATGCATATAGTAAAAACTTAAAAAATCTTCTTTTAAAGCACTCAAAGAGCTATGGATAAGATATTGAGCATCAAACATGTTCTAATAGGTGTGTACCAAGTTTGTTCAAATAAAAGCCCTGGGGTCAAAATTGGCCCCGCCCCAGGGGGTCATTGATTTTCCCTATATGCATATAGTAAAAACTTAAAAAATTCTCTTTTAAAGAACCAAAAGAGTAAGAGCTAAGATATTTAGTATAAAACATGTTCTAATAAGTGTCTACCAAGTTTGTTCAAATAAAAGCCCTGGGGTCAAAATTGGCCCCGCCCCGGGGGGTCATTGATTTTCCCTATATGCATATTGTAAGAACTTAAAAAATCTTCTTTAAAAGAACTCAAAGAGCTATGGCTAAGATATTTAGCATGAAACATGTTCTAATAGGTGTCTACCAAGTTTGTTCAAATAAAAGCCCTGGGGTCAAAATTGGCACCGCCCCGGGGGGTCATTGATTTTCCTTATATGTCTATAGCAAAAACTTAAAAAATCTTCTTTGAAAAAACTCAAATAGCTAGAGTTAAGATATTAAGCATGAAACATCTTTTAGTGAGTGTCTACCAAGTTTGTTCAAATAAAAGACCTGGGGTCAAAATTGGCCCCGCCCCGGGGGTCATTGATTGTCTTTATATGTGTATAGCAAAAACTTAAAATCTTCTTTGAAAAAAACCAAATAGCTAGAGTTTAGATATTAAGCAAGAAACATCTTCTAGTAAGTGTCTACAAAGTTTGTTCAAATAAAAGCCCTGGGGTCAAAACTGGCCCGGCCCCAGGGGTGTCATTGTTTTTAACTATATGTGTATAGTAAAAACTTAAAAAAAATCTTCTTTTAAAAAGCCCAATGAGCTTGAGCTTAGATGTTTAGCATGAAACATCTTCTTATGGGTGTCTACCAAGTTTGTGCAAATAAAAGCCCTTGGGTTAAATTGGCCCTGCAACGTTTGGGGGGGGGGTTGGGGGGGCCTATATACAGGTGAGCAACTTCAGGGCCATCATGGCCCTCTTGTTTATGTTGTTTCTGGTGAGCGACTGAGGGCCATCATGGCCCTCTTGCATATATTTGCTTTTATCCGTGTAACAGCTAATTAAATAATATTATGACATAATGACAAGAACAATATTAAGCAATTAGTTACTTTCATTCTGTTTTCTTTTCATCATTTCTCACCATAACTCTATTAATTGCTGGTGAATTTAAAATAACCTGGCTCATGTGTTAAATATCATGAGATTGTGTGTTGGGCTCAAGAACTTTGTAGATAGGTCAAAGGTCAAGGTCTTACTTTAAGGTCAAATGCAAAAAAATGGTTTCAAACAAGTTTTCCCACCATAACATTATCACCAGCAGCTTAAACTTCAAATTACCTGGCACAAATGTTCAACATCATAAGACGGCGTGTCTCGCACAAGAACCTATTGACTAGATCAAGGTCATATCTTACAGCGGGCTTGACATGTTGCCCTTGGGCATCTAGTTTGTAGCAATGGTTAAATTAAAAAAAAATGAACTTTTGACATTAACCATTTAAAAAAGGAGGCATTTTATCCTGGTATTTACATACTTTTAATTTTGTTTTACAGTTGGTCCTGATTCTATAAGTGTAACAAATGGGAAATTGGTATATACAGTTGATGAGGAAACAAAATTACACAATATAAAGTGTGAGGCTGACTGTTTTCCAGCATGTACATATAAATGGACAAAAGATAATCGGATTATTGACAATACAGATACTCTGTCTTTGAGACAAATACAAAAATCATCAGCTGGAAATTATACATGCAGGGCTACTAATGGTGACATGCAGTCTAGATGGAGGGAAAAGAGGGTTACTATTTACGTTAGATGTAAGTATATAAATCAGGAATTTGTATTATTAAAAAGATATTTGTATTTTGATATTTATCTTCTTACAAATTGAATCAATTTATGTTCATAATAATATTGTATCTAGTAATTTCATTTTTAGCTCAACTTTTTTTGAAAAAAAAAGTAGAGGTATTGTTATAGTCGCAGCAGCCTTGCCATCTGCAAACTTGTACCTGGATCATAACTTTTTTAGTTCTCGGTGTATTGTCTATATACTTGGCCACAACTATCCTTGGGACAAGACCTTTCAGTATACCACACTAACTGTGAACTTCATCCATAAATGACCTTGACCTTCAAGGTTAAAAGTCAAATTTTTGCTTGTTTTTGCTATTATTGGCTGTAACTTTGTTATTTTTGAATGGATTGTCTTCAAACTTGAACATAATAATCTTCAAGGATAACCCTCAAAAATAAGCAGACATACCTTGACCTTCACTCATTTATGACCTTGACTTTGAAGGTCAAATTATTGAAATTTTCATTGTTTTGGCTGTAACTGGCTGTAACTTTGCTATAATGGAAAGGATCAACTTCATATTATAACAGAACATTCTTAAGGACAAGATCTTGTTATTTATCAAACCCAAATTGACTTGGGCCTTTTAATGACCTTGACCTTGAAGGTTAAATATCTGAATTTTCTCAGATTTGTGCATTATATAACCATATATATTTCAGGGCTGGCAAAATCTCAGAAAATTGTACTTGTCCACGGACAAGTAACCTAAGAAATTTACTTGTCCGTACTCAATGTTCACTTGTCCGTATTTATATATAATATTTACTGCAAATGTCAATAAAGAAGAGCAATATGATTATGAACTTTCTTTCAATTTTATTAAACATTCTGTGCCATATGTTTAATAATATAATATATTATGATTATAATATAATATATTTATAAAATGTTAACGGCAGTAGATTAAAGTAGAACAACAGTGATCGACAAATTGTGTATATTTTACTGGAAGGAGCATTGGTCTTTGACTTTTGCCAGCATTTTTTTAGTTTTCCTTGCACCCAAATTGCTCTAAAATATTGTCTTCATTTTTTTGCACTCTGGTACCATTTCTTATTTATTCACTCCTTATTCTATTCATCTATATAATAATTCATTTGAATCCTGTTAAAAAATCATATGTACTCTTGAGTTAGATTTGTCAAATTGATGACATCTGGCTTTTTTAACGATATAATTATGATTGCCACAGAATGTAATATCATATACGTATATACGCTTGGTTGCAGCAGATGAATTGTGAAAATTTTGACATCATTATCATCGACGACGAAGAAACTGACATGTATAAATTAACACCAGTATTAGACATTCAAAAACAAAGGCATTTTCACAAGAAATCTTTACATAAAATAAATTATAAAATGACTTTGTCCACATAAATTCAAGCAGTCAAATTGCCGATGTGAGCGTAAATATTCCCGAATGACCTGGAAAAGCTATACAATGTATTAAATGTTCATACGACACAGCGGTATTTCAAAGACAATTGTTGCGAGATTGATGCTGTGTCTGCTATCTAAACAATAAATGCGCTTGAAAAGACCACAGCTTCCAAGTCAATTTTATGGCAGAATCCCCTTTGCTACCGAAAATATTTTATTGCAGAGGCTAAGTCGGCGGTCATAAACCAAAACAAACATGTACCCACATAGTGACCTTGATACAGTTAATTGCCGCGCGCATGCAGTAACTGCATGACATAAGGAAAACCCCAAGCCTGGTTGGTCGCTATTTATGTAAACACTTAAAATAGTTACACCCTAATATGCACGGAATGCCCTCAGGAATGACACCACACTTCACACGCTAGTTTTCGTATTAAAAGTGCGATTTTTCTTCTGATTTAGATCTATTAGAAAAGACCTAGATTTTTTTCTTCAGAATTCCTCTTTTAGCCACCGAAATTTACTTGTCCACGGACAAGTAAACTGCAGAATTTTACTTGCCCAGACCTACAATTTTACGACTCGGGCAACTCGGACAATTGATTTTGCCGGCCCTGTATTTATTGGTCTTTGCCTGTATCTATTAATATACTACAAGTAACAACAACAACAACAACAAGAACTTTGTCTCTGTAGTATTCTTGCGTAGTCTTTTATCAAGATTAATCATAATAATTTGATTGGCCCCTGTTCCTAGAGCTAAAAAATAGAAAAACTTTTAAACATCTTCTTCTATAGAACTAATTGATGAATGATCACCAAATTTTGTCTGTAGCATTCTTGGGTAGTCTTTTATCAATTTTGATCATATTAATTTGATTGGCCCTTTTAGGGGCAGCTAAAGCTAAAAACAGAAATACCTTTAAACGTCTATTTCTACAGAACTAATTGATGGATGATCACCAAACTTTGTCTGTAGCATTCTTAGGTACGCTTGCTCATATTAATTTGATTGGCCCCTTTTAGGGGCCACTAAAGCTAAAAATATAAAAAAACTTTTGAACATTTCCTACTGAAATAATTGATAGATGATCAACAAACTTTGTAGCATTCTTAGGTAGTCTTTTATCAAGTTTGCTCATATTAATTTGATTGGCGGTGTTTAAGCTGAAGCTTAAATGCCCCAGGTCATGGCATTTCTTCAAATTATTGTTTAAACATATTCTATGCTCAAATTAGATATCAGAAAATATTGACAATGGATAATTTCCAACTCTGAAAAGCAGTTGTTTCTGATGGCCCTCTTGTTAAATTCTGTGTTTCATTTTATTTCTTTGATAAATTTATTGTTGAATTTGAACATCTAGCATTGATCATAATTTTGGACTGAAAGTCCTGAGACCCAAACCCCAATCTTTTAAAATAGCCCCAAATTAAAATTTTTCATAAAAAAACCCCCGAGGGGGGGGATTTGGGAAATCTTTTAAATTCTGTTCTATAAAAGTTATAAAAGACCTCATTGGGGAAGCTTTTGGGCCCATGACAAGGTAACTTTACTAAAATAAAAATAAATTTATTAGTTTTAATTGCTCTTTAAATAATTTTAAGGTTTTTTGCCGAGTTTTGGATCTTTGAATCCCCGGGGCCGCCCAAATTTTTTGGTAACAATTAGGGGTCATTTTTTGCCTAAACACATGGAGCGTAAAGGGATCCCTTTTTAAAGGAAATTTTAGTTTGGGTTTTATTCAAACAGGGGTTCCAGATAAAAACTGGGGTACGGGACTAAAAAAAAACCTTTTGTAAACTTAGGGTAATTTTTCCCCTCAATCAATCAATTTGGTCAGTTTTTTTAAATAGCTCGGATAGTTTAACCCTGGATTTGGGGTGGATAAAAACAAAGGTTTAAAGGGATTTAAAATAAAAGAATCTTTTTATCACTCATGGTCTTTTTTGGATTAAAATACCCGGAATTTGGCTGAATTTTTGGGGGGTTCTGGTAAATTTAAATTTGGGGTCAAAAACACCCTCAAAAAACCCAAATGGGGAAAACTTTTTTAAACACTTTTGGGAAGTGGTAAGTTTTTAGGATTTTTCAGGGGCCTTTTTGGGGCACCCTTCCAAAATTTTTACTTTAAATGACACCCCCTATTAACCACTAACCCAAATTTTCACCCAAACCACGGGAATTTTTCCTTGGTTTTTAAAATTTAAAATTGGTTAAAAAATTTTAAATTTCCCATGCAGAACCCCCTTGGGAAAAGCAATGAAAAAAAAAGCTTAAAATTTTTTTAAAAAACCTAAGAGTAACAAAATTTTTGGCATAAAAATTTTTCTAAGATGTCATAAATTTTTCAAAAAAACCCCTGGATAAAAATTGGGCCCCCCCCGGTTTTTGGTTTTTGCCTTAAAATATAGAAAAAAAATAAAAATCTTTTTTAAAAGAACTAAAAGAGTAGACTTAGTTTTTTAGCATGATGGGAAAAATTTTTAAAAACCCTTTTTAAAAAAAACCAAAGAGCTAGAGCTAAGATTTTAAACAGAAAATTTTTAATGGGTTCTCCCAAATTTTTGTTAAAATAAAACCCCCTGGGTAAAAATTTGGCCCCCCCCCGGGTTTTTTTTTGTTTTGCCCTTAATATATAAAAAAACCCTTAAAAAATCTTTTTTAAAAAAACTAAAAGGGCTAGAGTTTAGATTTTTTACCATAAAATTTTCCAAGGGGTTCCCCAAGTTTTTTAAAAAAAACCCCCGGGAAAAATTGGCCCCCCCCCCGGGGTTCTTTGTTTTTTTTAAAATGTTTTTTAGAAAAAATTAAAAAAAATCTTTTTTAAAAAACCCCAAATAGCTAATTTAGATTTTTAGCATAAATTCTTCTGGAGTGTCAAACAAGTTTTCAAAAAAAAGCCCGGGGTTTAAAATTTGGCCCCCCGGGGGTTATTGTTTTTCCTTAAAAATTTTGTAAGAAAAAAATTAAAAATCTTTTTAAAAAACCCAAAACCCAGTTTTAAAATTTTAAACAAAAAACATTTCTAGTGAGTGTCCCCTTTTTTAAATAAAAAACAGGGTTAAACTGGCCGGGGGTGTCATTCTTTTTTTAACATAGTTATGAAAAACTTAAAAAATTTCTTTAAAAAAAACCCGGGATTTAGAGCTTGATTTTGCATGAAATCTTTTTGGGTTGTCAAAATTTTGTTTTCCCACCCCGAGGAACGGGGGGGAAATATATTTTGGCGTTTTTCCGGGCCCGGCCTTTGCGTCCCCCCCACCCCCAAAACAGAAATTTATTGGTAAAGGGAAAAAGGTAACGCTTTTCTTTTGATGTTTTCACCCTAATGCTTTTTTTTGGGCTATTTTCTTTTGTGTGGAAAAAAAAAATAGAAGAAAAATTAGAGTCCACATTTTTACTTTCCCTTGAGTCCTCCGGTCCCCCCCTTTCCCCGTCCTTCCGAATTTCTTTTCCGGGAGTAGTTTTTAACTACTGGCGGTTTAAGAAAACTTTTTTTGAATAAACAATTTCAAAAAATTCCGCTTTCGCGGCTTTTTCCCGGAAAAAATTGGGGGGGGGGTT